ACTATTTAGTTGTTTTATGCTAATTTTAGCTTTTTCAGCTAATTCCACTTCTGTTGCACTCATTTAAACTTCTCAGTCTAATTCAGCAAAAAAAAAAAAAGTGCTCTCTCCACTTCCTTCTGGTAATTTAAGCTTCTTTCTGCTTTTTTTAGCTACTTTTCAGCTATGCTAATTTCAACCTTTTTCGGGTAATTTCCACTTTTTGTGCTCATTTCTGCCTCTTTCAGCCTAATTAGGCAAACATGTGCTCTTTCTTATGCTAATTTAAGTTGGTTATACATTTCAGCTAGATGTTTAGCATATTTTAGCTAATTTCAGATAAATTCAAGTTTTTCATGGTAATTCTGATAACTTATGCTCTTTTCAGCTTATTTCTGTTAGTTTCAGTTATTTCAGCTAATATTTAGCTGTTTTATGCCATTAGCTTTTTCAGCTAATTCCACATTTTCCCACTCATTTCAACTTTTGTGTTCTTTCTGCTTTTTTTTTTTTTTTTTTTTTTTGCTGATTTACGCTTGTTCTAAATTTTCAGCTATGTTTCAGCATGTTTTTTGTTTTGTTTAAGCTAATTTCAGCTATTTTTAGCTAGTTCTTCTGCCATCAGCATGCACACTGCATTTTCACAGATAATTCAATTTCTCTAGTTTATTTCATTGTTTTGTTTTTTCAGGCTGCCACCTTCAAAGCCAGGAATGAGAAATAAGCCAGACACACCAGAAGTGTGATGTGTTTGATTCACACACACAGGCTCCTAAATCACTGCCTTTTAAGATCAAAGCCTGCGGGATGCAGGCTGACGGATGGAAACAAATCCTTCCGTGTGCTGCCTGCTGGCTCTCAAGACCAGTTTAAAGTTAGGTGGCATCGCAGCTCCCTCCAGTGTAAAATGGCTGACAACATGATGCAGTTACCTGCAGCCACTGTCACCCTCACAGCTCTATAGCAGATCTGAACAACTTCCTGTCCACACTGTTACCGCCTGCCTCACTCTCTCTGAGTTTGGGATTATGATAAATGCTTCTGATTGGAAAATAAGACGAGCCTGCAGCAGCTCCAGACTCGGCTCAGTCCAGGCGGCCTCAGTGATTGAATTCATGTAGCCCTGTTTAATAAAGTGACCGTGTCCAAGGCCTGCTGGTTATCTGTCTGCAGAGCAGGCCGTTCAGCTTTATTACTATTCACAAATGAAACCTGTCAACGTGTCTGTTCAGAATGCATTATGTGTTCGGATTGTGGGCGGAAAGTGTAGTGCACAGACGCAGGGACAAAAAAAACTAATTATTAAGGAGTAATTTGTTGTGTATATGCATTAAGAAAGCGAGAACTTGAAGGCAAGTTGGTTTTTGTGATTTCAGACATACAGATCCTACAAAGAAAACTTCTCAAGTGTGAAAATTAAGAAATTTGGTACAATACACACAATTTTAACATGTTTATCACATAACTGGAATATTTCTGTGATTGTTTATGAAGCATTCACACCATTGTGATCCATTTTCCTTCTCTATGTTTTTCAGCATCTTTCTCGTTCCACAATATTTGTGCTATTTCGACACATCATATATCAAAATGTTCAGCTTGTCCAGGAGAAGGGTGCTATGACTTTTGGTGTTGGTGCAACTTTAGCTTTTTGAAATATTTAGCCTTTTTTTTTTCTCCTAGAAAATGAATTGAGTTAATTTTACATCCTTCAAATCTTTAGATATGTTTACAACCTTTTAAAGCACCTTTCACATTTTGTTCCAGTTCAGCTTCTTTGTACAAAATAAATAAATAAATAAATAAATCAGCTACTTTCAGCTTTTTTTCATCTGTTTTGTGCTCCTTTCTGCTTTTTTCTGCTAACTACAACATTTTTTGCTTCTTCTTTCAGTTACTATTTAGCAGTTTTTATGTGAATTTTAGCTGTTTCAGCTAATTATATATTTTTTTGCACTTAATTCAACTGTTTTCAGACTAATTCAGTAAAAATGTGTGCTCCCCACTTCCTTCTAGTAATTTAATGTTCGTTCTGCTATTTTAGCTACTAATTAGCTGTTGGATTTTTTTTTTTGGTTGTTGTTGTTGCAAATTCTGCTTTTTTTTCCCCAGAAAATTTCCACTTTTCTGTGCTCACTTCTGCCTCTTTCAGCCTATTTGAGCACAGTTGTGCTCTTTCCACTTCGATCTGGTAATTTAAGCTTCTTTCTGCTTTTTTAGCTACTATTCAGCTTTTTTTTTTTTTTTTTTTTTCAAATTTCTGCTTTTTTCAGATACTTTCCACTTTTTTTTCTTCTCATTTCTGCTTCTTTCAGCCCAACTGGACACAATTTTGCTCTCGTCCTTCTGATAATTTAAGCTTTTATTTGCCTTTTCAGTTACTTTTCAGCTAAGTTTTGCAAAGCATTTTTTTAAGCTAATTTCCTAATTTCTGTGTTCATATTTTCTCATTTAAACCTAATTCAGCAAATATATGTTATTTCTTCTGCTAAGTTAGACTTGTTCTTCCACTTCAGCATGTTTTTAGCTAATTTCAGCTGTTTTACAGCAAGTTTTTCAGCAATAAGCATTCACACTGCATTTTTGCAGGAAATGCAATTTCTCTAGTTCCTTTTGAACTTGGTGTAGCCAAAGTGAAACAGGAAGTGACATCAAAGGGAAACTTCCTGATCTTTTATTGAAACACTATTAGAACTGACTCAAAATGATCTAAAGAAACATCAGATTGTCGACCGTCTGTGCTGTCAGACATTGTAGCAATGATCTGTTTACATGCAGGCCTTCCCCTTTGGCATCACTGTTCATCGGTATGAAATGTTTTGGCAATAGGTATAATTAATGTTATCTTTTTAAAATGCATTCATATTTATTACGAAAATCAGATGACACAATTGTTCTATAAGAATACTCAAACCCACCATAACTTTATGACCAGCATGGTTGAATTAAATTTCAGCCACCAACAGTTGTGGATAAAACACATGGACATGTCCTGGAGTGAGAGTCCATGTTGGTGAGGTCTCCGAGGAGAGGGCGCACTTCCCAAAGAAGTTGTCAATTTAGTATTTTGGAAAATCTTTTTATTCACTCCTGAGAAGTTTTTGCAAACCCCATGACTGCCACGGAGCAGGGTGTCTCTCCATATTGTATCTTTTTGTAACAAGATGAGCGTTAATGACTTCCCCGCCGGTGGTTTCAACCAGATTTGACTTATTACTGTATTTGTCATGTACGTGCACGCCTCTCAAGAGATCCTATGTGACAAATCAGCTGGCCTTTAAAGGTTACTCACGCAGCTTCAACAAGTAGCAGATGAAACGGCTCCACTCACTTAATGCTCCATCACTTGAAGGAGGATCTGCTCTTACATGTGCTGCCTGCTGGCACCGAGGCCAGCCCAGGAAAATGTGATGACATTTGTCACACGGAAAAAGACATTTTTAAAGCTGCTCTGGTGCCAGTGGACTCAAATGGGATGTCATGTTGCCCTAAAGTAACCTTTTCCTTAAAAACTCCTTTAATACTGACATTTTACGGATGGCTGGACTCGTTCACATCATTCGACGTTTTACTCCAGATGATTGTGTCTTAATTGTGTGAACGCTTGTGAAGAATTCACTCTTGTGATCCACGCTATTTCAACAAATCATATATGAAAACATTCAGCTCATTCAAGAGAAGGGTGCTATGATTTTTGGTATTGCTGCAACTTTAGCTGTTTCTGACTCTTTTTTTGTCTCATAGGAAATTCCTTCATATATTTACATCTGTTTGCAACCTTTTACTGCTCCTTTCACACTTTGTTCCGGTTCAGCTTATTTCAGCTCTCTTGTACAAATGTAAACATTTTTTCAGCTACTTTCAGCTGTTTGATGCTTCTTTCAGATTTACTGAACTAATATTTGTGTGCCTGTAACATCTTTGTTAATTTTAGCTCGTCATGCTCCGTTCAGCTTATTTCTGCAAGTTACAACTTTTTCTGCTACTATTTAGCTGTTTTATGCTAATTTTAGCTTTTTCAGCTTATTCCACTTTTTTTGCACTCAATTTTTTTCAGCCTAGTTCAGCAAAAATATGCTCTCTTCACTTCCTTCTGGTAGTTTAAGCGTCTTTCTGCCATTTCAGCTACTTTTCAGCAGGTTTATTTTGCCAATTAATCTTTTTCCCCCAATGATTTCCACTTTTTATACAATTTTCTGCTTCTTTCAGCCTAACTGGGCAAACGTGTTCTTTCTGCGTTTTTGTGGTAATTTAAGCTGGTTCTACCTTTGTAGCATTTAGCTAATTTTAGCATTTTTCAGATAGATTCAAGTTTTCCATGGCAATTTTTGCTACTTTCAACTTTTATTAACTTCTTTATGCTAATTTAAGCTCATTATGCTCCTTTTAGCTTTTTATCAGCTAGTTGCAGCTTTATATGATGTTAGCTACTATTTAGCTGTTTAATGCTAATTTTAGCCAATTCCATCTTTTTGGAGCACATTTCAGCTCTTTCCACTTCTTTCTGGTAGCTTAACCTTCTGTCTGCCTTTTCAACTAATTTTCATTTTATTTTTGCTAATTTCAGGGTTTTTTTAAGCTAATTTCTTAATTTTGTGCTAATTTCTGCAAATAAATAAACTGATTTTACATATGTTTTCTTTCTGTTAATTTAGGCTTAGTCTTCCATTTCAGTTACAATTCAGCATGTTATTTTTTTTAGCTAATTTCAGTTGTTTTTCAGCAAGTTCTTCAGTAATAAGCATTTGCACTGCATTTTTGCAGGCAATGCAATTTCTCTAGTTTTTATGAATGTTGTGAAATAAAGCATAACTGCATAAATGATAATTGCAAAACCAGTGTTTTAATTATATTAATACTCAAATGAACATGAGTCATGAAATACTTTAAAAAGGCTGAAACAGTTCAGAGCAAAAAAAAAAAAGCACAAACATAACTAATAATATGCAGGTAGATTATTATAATAAATTAAACGCATTTTATGTTATTACAGCAAACCTATGATGCTGTGTAAAAATGGGTGAGAAATATACAATTTTTGCATTTTATAATTCCCTGCCATTCAAAAACAGAACAAACCAAGAATCAAAGTAAATTATTTAGCAGAGTATGAAGCACACTAAATGTTATCCACAATCGATACCTCTCATTGTTAGTGTCAACTATTTGTCGTTTGTTGTACGTGTTTTTCTACGTGCTGGGGTGACTATGAGGAATTTAGCATGAAGAATCGTTTTCTTTCTCCAGATTGCATATCGCAGAGTCTTTGCAGCAAAGTAAACGTATGAACCAACAACAAATTCGACAGGATAATGAAAAGAGGCACAGAGGGGGCATTTCTCAAACAACAAATTTGTTCTTGGTGGTTGAACCGCTTTTGGTAGCCGTGTCTGCGTGAGACTGGTAGCCGATCGTCATCTTCATCGGAAGCCCCAGTCGCTCCTTGTAAACTCTCCTGTTGACGTGGAAATGACGGCGTAAAAGAGTGCAAACATTTATAATCAATGTGTTTAGGTAGAACCTGCCTCACCCTATGTGTGTTACAGCGTCCCGGTTCTCGTAGTCGGATGTCCAGACGGCTATTTTATCTCCTTTGTTACGAATGTTGACTACAGCTCCGCAGACGTCGTCGCTGTAATCATCGAAGGCCTCTCCGACTAAACACAGGAGCTGTTGAAGGCAAGGACACTGCGAGTCACATTTTCAGACAACGACTGTTCTTTATGATGATGTAGACCGCTGCAGGATTTCTGCTCACCTGCTGTCTGAATCGCTTCATTTTAGACGTGACATGTGTAAACCCGCCAAACTAAAAAGATTCACCTGATTGGTCCAAAGAGGCATAAACAATTAATCTATGAATATATGTAAATAAAGGTTTGATGGTCCTTAGTTTTAAAGGTTTAGCTGATTTTTTTACTTAAGGTACTGGGAGTAGTTATACGCAGTCAGTATCTTACCAGCCAGCAGATGGCAGTCAGACTGATCTCAGCTTGAAAAATGGAGAAATTCTCCAGAGAATTCAAACTAACGGAGAAAGTTTCATATGGGGGGAATTTTACCATCAAAACGCTAACAGCTGAGCTCACCTGGGACCGAACAATTGATTTTATAATATTTTCAAAATTAATTTTGAAGGAAAGAGGCCGGGACGCTCAAAGTGAACTTTACATTTTTTTTGTGGGGGAGAGAAGAGTTCTGTTTACAAAAAGCACAGTTTTGAAACAACTGTGTGTTTCACTATCAGGTGTGGGCGTAAGAATTTTTAAAACATCCACCATGAATGTGTTAATTTTTCATACTCGTATTTTATCTAGACTTCAAATAATCAAAAATTACTAACCATCCTGAATTTGTGCAGCACATACAGATGTTACTTTAAGAAAATCAGGAGAAATTTGACAACCGTTTTGTCCAAAAGTGACAGGAGTGAGAATTTTTCTCTGATTCTCCAAACTGAGATTGTTCTGACTGCTGTCTACTGCAGGTACGATACTGACTGGTCATGATTAACCATGTTAAAACTATTTATTTAAAGTTCTTTTGAAGGACTTTTTACCATCATGCAACACTGTGTCTAGAGCATGTTATCAATTTTAATAAAATTCTCAAAGAGTAGTTGACTTGTGCTTTGCCATCAAGTTCAAAATACAGTAGTCCTTCGCTACTTTGCGGACTCGCTCTATCGCCATTTTTCAAAATAAGCTTGGACATAACTGGCTGATTGATGCATGAGCCGCACGATCGGCATGGAATTTTTTATTCAAAATAATTTATTTTAAATTATTTAGCACCTGCTGCACATTTGTGCAGCCCATACTGCTGCAGCTGATCAGCTGGTCACCGTGCAAAGCGAAGAAGTGGGCGTGGCCAAGAGTGCTTGCAGGTGGCTGAGAGCAGCAGAGACAGAGAGGGAGAAATCATGACATGCTGTGCTCTTTTAGAGCGTTTAGTGTTTAGAAACATTGTTTAGAATATTGCAAGAGTGTGGGAAGGGGTTAAAACACCTTGATATACTACTTACTACTTGTACTACTATTCCTACTTTACAGTTTTTCCACTTATTGTGGGTCTTCAGGATATGGACAGTAAAACAATTAACGTGCATTTTGTAATAAAGAGAGTCATTTCAAAAGTCTTCTCACTGACTGTACAGGAAATGTGTTTCTGCTCAACGACAGAACACAGCTTGCCAAGTGTCTGTGCATCGCAGCCAAGGACCTTACGAGCAGCAAGAGAGCTCACCACGAAACAGTGAAGTTCAGCAGCGACCAACTAAATATTTTCCATTACTTTATATTTGACAGGGCTGTGATTCCTCACCATTAGCTCAACTCACAGTCAAGGCAATAGTATATTGTGTGAGATGTGGACAAAACAGCAACAATAAAAGCATCTGATCGGTGGCTTCCAGCTACAACAGGATGTAATCACCCATTTCTGCAGGCAACAAGTGTGATGACAGAGTGGTGTCTCTAATTATGGCTGCCAGCGAGTAATAAATGTATCCCTTTAGGGAAGGGAGGCGCAGACATGATTAATAATGCACTGGGTTAAAGTAACAGAACAGGCTAAGTTGAACGTACAGTTTCCAGCCAGAAGCGATCCAGTTCTTGTTTTCTCTGCTGTTTGTTAAGTGTGATGAGCCAACGTCCACCACGCTTGTTCCTCTCGTCCTCCCACATGGGCTCTATACCGTCCTGCACAAACAGCTCACGTTAAATTATGTTTAAAACTTCAAACAACCTACAACTAGAGAAATGCTTTTTCCTGTGAAAATGCAGTGTGAATGCTTATTGCTGAAGAACTTGCTGAAAACAGCTGAAATTTGCTAAAAAAAAAGCCGAATTTTAGCTGGAAAGGAAGAACAAGCCTATATTAGCAGATGAAAGTAGAAAGAACACATATTTGCTGAATTATGTTTAAATAAGCAGAAATGAGCACAAAAATTAGGAAATAAGCTAAAAAAAAAGCTGCAATAAACAAATAGCTGAAAAGCAGCTAAAAAGGCAGAAAGAAGAACTACCAGAAGCAAGTGGACGAAGCTGAAATGAACAAAAAAATGTAGAACTTGCTGAAAAGGCTAAAAACAGAATAAAACAGCTAAATAGCAGCTGAAACTATCAGAAACAAGTCGAAAGAAGCATAAGCTGAATTTAGCAGAAAGAAGTTAATTAGGCTGAAAGTAGCAGAAGTTACCACAAAAAACTTGAACTTATATGAAAACAGCTGAAGTTAGCTAAAAAAACGCAAAAAAAATACAAGCTGAAAAGGTAGAGCAAGCTTAAATTAGCAGAAGAAAGCAGAAAGAACATGTTTGCCTGATTATGCTGAAAGAAGAAATGAGCCCCCAAAAATGGAAATTATCAGACAAAAGCTGAAATTAGCAAAAAAATAACAGCTGAAAAGTTGCTAAAAAAAAACAAATCTTAAATTACCAGAAGGAAGTGGAGAGAGAACATTTTGCTGAATCAGGCAGAAAAGAGTTGAAATGTTGAAAAAGCTTAAACTTGCAGAAATAGGCTGCAAGGAGCATAAACTGAAATTAGCAGAAAAAAGTCAGAAGCAGCACAGAAATGTTGTAGTTAGCAGAAAAAAAATCTGAAAGTAGAACAAAACAGCTGAAAAAAATTCCCAGCTGAAATTAGCTGAAAGCTGCAAAAAAGTTTAAATTTGCCGAAGGAAGCTGAAACACAATAAAGTGTGAAAGGAGCAGTAAAAGGTTGTAAACACATCTAAAGATTTGAAGGATGGAAAATGAGCTCAATTCATTTTCTATGAGAAGAAAATAGCAGAAAAGGCTAAATGTTTGAAAAAGCTAAAGTTGCAACAATACCAAAAGTCAAAGCAGGATTGTCCTAAAAGAGCTGAACGTTTTGATGAATGATTTGTTGAAATCGCACAAAAATTGTGAACGAGAAAGATGCTGAAAAACGTACAGAAGACAAATGAATCACAATAGTGAGACATCTCAGCATGGTGTTCCTACTTCTGTATTATTAACATTTAAAAGACAGCAAAAACTCAAACATTTAATATTTATCTTAAATATTGCTGGAACTTGTAAAAATACCAAGCTTCCAGAAAAGTTTTAACCATTCTTCTATTCCGTTTTCCTTTTATTGAACAACTTCTTTTATTACTGCAGACGTGTGAACTGAATTCAGTTGTAGTGAACATTTACTCAAATTTTTTAGCAAGTCTTATGTTTATTTTACCTGAAAATATCTTTAAAAGAGTAGTTTGTCCAACCTACCTTAAAAAGAGAGTAGTCACAGCCAGACAGGAGGTTGCTTGATAATTGGATGTGATTGTAGAGACTGAAACAGAGAGTGCAACAGCATAATTATTAAAACAATATAAGTATTTAAAAAGGCATTTGAGAATATTTCACTCCTTCAGTCAAAGTACTGAAAATCTGATCATTGTTGCTCCTTACGCCCAAAAATCTTCAACTGTGTCAAATTTTGAGATGAGTCGCAGGTTGGCCTGCCATGTTTTGGTCCTGTCATTCTTGAAGAACCACAGAGACCACCTGTTTGGAGCGGAAAAGTATAAATTAGAAACACATGATAAACAAAATCAAATATTTAAAGCTTTGAAGAAGTGACGGGACAATTCAGATACAAACTGCTCCTTAAATCTTTTAATGCTCCAATAAATTGTGATGTTGTGCCGTACAAATTCAACTCTACGTTGTTTTAGAAGTCACGGACGGAAGAATAAGGTAAAGTGTGATTTTATTAATAATAAAATAATTAAATCAGTCAGTGTGTCTGCAGAGTAAACTTCAAACTAGAGAAATTGCATTTACTGTGAAAATGCAGTGTGAATGCTTATTGCTGAACAATTTGCAGAAAAACAGCTGAAATAAGCTAAAAACATGCTAAAATGTAGCTGAAATGGAAAAACAGGCCTGAATTATCAGAAGAAAGCAGAAAGAACACATATTTGCTGAATTACGTTTAAATAAACAGGAATGAGCACAAAAATTAGGAAATTGGTTAAAAAGGGCTAAAATTAGCACAAAAAAACCCAAAAGTAGCTGAAAAGGAAGTGGAAAGAGTTGAAATTAGCTATAAAAAAGTGGAACTAGCTGAAAAAGCTAAAATTAGTATAAAACAGCTAAATAGTACGGTAGCTGAAATGAGTGAAACTAGCAGAACTTATATGAAAGGAGCACAACAAGCTAAAGTTAGCAGAAATTGCCACAAAAAACTTGAATTTATCTGAAAACAGTTCAAATTAGCTAAAAATGCAACAACAAAAGAAAAGGTAGAACAAGCTTAAATTAGCATAATAAAGCAGAAGGAGCACATGTTTGTCCAATTAGGAAGAAAGATGCAGAAATTAGTACAAAAAGTAGAAATTATCTGAAAAAGGCAAAAATTAGAAGAAGAAAAAAAAACAGCTGAAAAGTAGCCAATGACAGCAGAAAGATGCTTAAATTACCAAAGGGAAGTGGAGAGAGCACATTTTTGCTGAATTAGGCTGAAAAAAAGTTGAAATGAGTGCAAAAAATGTGGACTTAGCAGAAAAGATAAGATTAGCATAGAAACAGCTAAATAGTAGCTGAAATTGCAGAAATAAGCTGAAAGGAGCATAACAAGCTGAAATTTGCAGAACAATGTTAGAAGCACAAAACTGTTGGTTAGCAGAAGGAAAGAATCTGAAAGGAGCACAAAACAGCTGAAAAAACCCAGCTGAAATTAGCTGAAAGTAGCTGAAAAAAGTTTAAATTTGCACAAGGAAGCTGAAAGAAGCTGAACCAGAACAAAATGTGAAAGGAGCAGTAAAAGGTTGTAAACTGAGATGAAGATTTGAAGGATGTAAAATGAACTCAATTCATTTTCTATTAGAAAAAAGTGGCAGGAAAGGCTAAATATTTCAAAAAGCTAAAGTTGCACCAATACCAAAAGTCATAGCAGAAAAGAGCTGAAAGATTTGATTTATGATTTGCTGAAATGGCACAAATATTCTGGAATGAGAGTGATGCCGAAAAACGTACAGAAGATAAATGGATCACAATATCTATATTTAAAAAGCCTGTTAGCTTCAAGATACTTTTGGTTTTTCTTCAAACATGATAATGATATGAAGCCATAATCTCAGGGAGTGCATATTTTACAGTCCCTCTGATGAACTTCAGCAGGTTTTTCTTGACCTTCCATTAAAATAAAGACAGCTGCAACCATCACTCTTCAGATAAAAAAAATATGTAAAGACTAAAAAGTAGGATTGTTATTTTTTAATTAACTTGAATACTAGTGCCAGCAAATATATAAACAAATCAAATGTATATTAATAATTGAGTTTGTGTTGGCCATCCTGAACATAATGGTGTTGTGAGAGGCTGCTGAAATGTTCTGGAGTCCAACTTTTCTCTTTGGTGACTGGCTTTTGATGAGTTTAGCTTCTCTATTTGACCCTGTTGGACATAAATATCCTCATGGAATTTAAATATACATAAAATATTCAGTCGTTGCTTATCTGTATTCAGCAAAGGGGGCAGATGGAAGCTATGGATTGAGAAAAACAGTGAACAACCCTGGACAGGTCAGCCAACCAGCTCCACTGTGGGGAAATAAAAAGCAGCAGACTGTCTGCACAAAGAGCACAAACACAGTCGCCTGTGATGAAGCTAGCTGCTAATACCAACAGAAAGAAATCCTTAGTTTACTGTCAATTTTACATAGTGATTTCCTTTTTAGATAACGTATCTTACATATGATTTTATTCAAATGACAAAGTTTAAATGTGAAAAATAAAATAAAAATAACATTAGATTTCAATAATAGACCCTATGTAGAAAAAAACACGACTAAAACACTATATTTTGGCTTCCAACCGTCATAAATAAAGATAAACCCAACAGTTACACGTCAGTAAAAATAAATATTACACACTCATGTCTGAAAACTACTGTTCAGAATTATTTGTTTCTGACTGCATTTAGTTTTCCTCTAAACCAGTGGTTCCCAACCATGGTCCTTGAGGAACTCCATCCTGCATATTTTAGTTGTTTCCCTGCTCCTACACAGCCGATTCAGTGATTTAATTACTTCATCAAGTTCTGCAGAAGCCTGTAAATCACCCGTTTATTAAAAGCAGGTGTGTCGGAGCAGAGAAACAACTAAAACATGCAGGATGGTGTTCCTCAAGGACCAGGGTTGGGAACCCCTGCATTCAGCAAGAGAACTTACAGAGTTATCAACTGAAAAGTTAACTTGCAGATAATATTCAGCAGCTGGAGATGGTTTTATTTAAGCATAGCTCTTCTTTTATTATCTCTCCGCATATTCACTTTCCTCATTTTTAAACATACAGAGCGCAATATGCTGTCACGGTCAGGCTGAAACTAAGTGGAAACGCAGCCGAAATCCAAAGAAAAACGCTGAAAGGCCTCAAAAAGCCCAGAGAACTGTTAAGATAAAAAGATAAGATAAAAAACAGAAAAGATTAGTGGACAAAGCTTAGTTGAAATGAGGACTGATTGGAAACTTTTACACAGTGAGCTCCGTGCTGACACTGAACACGTGACCCCGCTGGTGACCTTTGGACTTGTGACATCAGTGGGATAAATTTAAACTTGTGTCTTTATTCCTACACTAATCAAATGTCAGCATTGATTTGCAGAACCCGACCTGTTCTGAAGTGGGTGTTTGATGTAGGCCTCCGGGCTCACAACTTCCTGTCCGCTCTCCTCAACCTCAGCCTCAACCTCAGCCTCAGCCTCAGCTTCAGCTTCAGCTTCATCTTCATCACGATGGGATGGACTCGGGTTGGTTTCCTGAACAGCAGACAACCAGAGAGAACGATACACATCAATCTCAAAGAAATCATGACGAGTTTTGATTTAGTCAACATTGATTCATGTATTTCAAGGTACGCTCTGCCATGTCATAAAGACAACTCCAAAATTAACTACCACAAGTGGGGTTTTTTTCACCCACAGAAACAGCCGAAGCGACTGAAAATAAGTCAACGATGGCGGCATCCATGAAAGACCCGTTTGGGATGGAGAAATCCTGCATTTTAATGTATTTCTACGCATTTACACTCAGATTTATTAAGCGTGCCGACAAAATTGCTTTGTTTACATCGAGTGCAGACCCGCATTTCAGGCTTGGGCATCAATTTTTCTGGGAAACTTCTGGAGCAAACATTCTCAAACTGCACCATTCGATGAAGGTAATTAAGAGAAACTCTTATTTATGCTTGATTTGAAAAAATTTGCAATGAGTATCTTTAAAGTTTTTATATTTAACCCCCAATATCTTTTCTAGTGAATCTAACCCAGTTGAAACTGACAGAAAACGGTCGTAGAAAAATATCTGAAGCTAGGTTTATATGGAAAAGTAGTATTTTAACTTGTGTAATATTTAACAAATGAACTTTTGGGGTGGAAGACAAGCTAGCTGCAGCGTTGGAAAGGTCAGCACGGACCAGTACTGACCAGTACCAATGGTCCAACTCGATTTAGAAAACTACCCAATATCCCACCAACAGTTTGACAGTTTTCAATCAATACACACGTGATGAAAAATCCACTTCACTAATAAGCTCCTCCACTACATAACTAAAGCTGAAGTTGCTCATTCTGAAAGGCTCAAACGTGGCTAAAGTGAACAGCACGTCGGTCAGTTGAAAGTTTAGAGATCTTCACATTCCTCTTTTTACGCCAATGGGGTCGTGGCACGGAGAAGACGTTTAAAACTACTCAGAACCTCGTTTCTGATCCAAACAACCCCCTGATACTGACAGAAGAGTCGTCTTAAAAGTCGCGTATAAACTTTAAATGACGTTTCGACCCCCAAATGAAACGAAAAACCCCTCCATATGTTTTGAAACGTTCCTTTTTAGAGAGCACTCACCGGTTCGGCGGTCGCCATCTTACAAGTCTGCGTTAGGAAAGTTTCTGGTGATTGGACGGAACGGAGTCACGTGACGGATTTGAAGCAGGGCGTTGTAACATATAATCTAAGTACAATCTCGTCTTTAAAACTTTAAAGATATTCGTTGGAAAGTATGAATTAAAAGGTTATCCTGAACTATATCGAGTAGTTCAGTTTGAAAGATTTTATCAGTAGTTTTCAAGAAATATTGAGACATTTTTTTTAGTGCTAGTCAGCCCTCAATGAAAATAGAACAAGTACATATTTGTAAATTTCTTCTAGACATGTAAATTTAATGTTTCAGCCTAATATATATTTTTATCGGTGTACTTTGATCAGCATATTAAAGTTTTAGTACAGAGCAATGCATAAAAATGGTCATTCTTCTCCAAACCAACAGCTTTTCTAATGTCGTTGCTGTTTTTGGCCTATTTTTAAATCACTTCGGGTGTTTCAGCAGATGACCAAACACGTCATGTCATTTAGTTTGCTTCCAAATTTTTTATTTAAGGACACGTTATCCATCAATTGGGTGGGGGAAAAAACCCAACAATAATAAATGTCTTGTCTTATTGTTAGAGATAAATATGGTAGGACTTATGGATGCACAATATTATCAGCCTGGTATCGGTGTCAGACGATATTAGCGATAAAGTTAATTTTGGACATCGGCCATTCCATCAAAATAATTGATATAAAAAGGCGCTGTTTTTCTATGACAACCCAGTGACAAGGATGCCTGCAGCGCCAGCACAACGTTATTCAATATACTTTATTGATCTCCCAAGGGGGAAATTTCATATGATGTTATGACGTCACACATGTCGTTGAGTTTAGATTTGTGAAAATTTACAAATTTGCACTGTTCGAGTGTTGTCATTGTGTTAGAGTAAATGTCATGAATAAATTGGACAATAAACATAATCCAAGTCGAAGTGTTACATCACTTTCAGCCCCCTTTTGGGTATCTGGTTTTGGTAGCAGGCCAAATTGACCAAGGCCATGCAGAATAATGTAGTATTTAATTCCACAGCAGAGAAAGATATGAAGTCTCTGTAAGTAGATCTAGGAAAAATATCGGTATTGGTATCGGTTATCGACCAAATAAATTTTAACATATTGGCATATTGGATATTGGCCAAAAGTCCAATAATTTGCATCATGGTTTGATGGAAAATGTAATGGTTTTGTTCCTGTAACTTTTTAACAGGGTGGTAATCTTTGAAACTGATAACCGGTCCATTTGTAATGGGAGGCAGGCATACGAGACCCTGGGCAAGCTGATTTCTGGTGTCAAAATCATATTCAGAATGGGTACAAATTCCTCCCATATATAGTTTGTACATATCACCCGTTTGTGAATTAAGTTTTGCAATTGTAAAATAAAATGGCTGAAAACTTCTGCTTTGAACATGTGTAGATAGCAATGTGTGCGTGTAAAAAAAGATTTGCATTTGTAAAAAATAATTACACAATTTACAAAATAAATTTTGTTAAGGTCTGTTTACAGATACAAGGCAAAAAAAAAAAAAAGACACTACATATAAAATTCTGAGGTGAGTTATCTAACTTGCATGAGCTTCAACTTGCAAGGAAGAATTGTGACAAGATGTTTCTTCCTCTCAGCTGATTGGTCAATATGTCAATTACAAATTTAACAAACCAATCAGAGAACAGATGGGTTTGGCTGTCGGGTGGTAGTTAACTGAGCTTTTACACGCAAGCTAGGGAACTTGAGCGCTTAGTTTTAGATTAGTTTTTTTTTGTAAACAGACCTTAACAACACCTGGACCTGTCGTTCTATGTTTTTTTCTCCTTCCCGTCTTCTCAAACCCCGGCCAGTCAAAGCATATGGCTGCTCGTCCCTGCTTCTGCTGGAGGTTTCTTCCTGTTCAAAGGGAGTTTTTCCTTTCCACTGTGGCCTTTGTGCTTGCTCAGGATGGGAGACTGCAACCAAGTGCAGATTCAACACAATCTGCTATAAATAACTTTTACTAGTTGGCTTTTTAAATGTACGTGAATGTTTCTGTTCAGTACCTTGAGATGACTTCAGCTAAATAAACTGAATTGAACAATAAAACGTGTAGTTATTTTTTTACAAATCTTTTTCCAAACACTCCTTTACATGTGCTTAAAGCAGAAATTCTCATTTTATTTTACACGGTTACAAAACTTGATTCACAACTACGCAGCCTGATTTGCAAGCACAATATATATATAGAATTTGTATACAAATATCTAAATTCAAACTTTACATGCAAGTTTTTATAATTCTTTTTATGATGTCAGTTAGTGGATGAATGCCACGTATGTAAAAATATTCTGGATAGAACAACTCGTATTTTGAACTGCTGAAATTGTTTGTGGATGCCAGAGTATAAAAGCTAGTTTTTCTATTATATGATAAGCCGGCCTGCCCTACAGGACTCTCTGCTGGTGGGTCCCTCCACTCCTCCTACAGATCGCGGCATGGCGAGCACGGAGGCCAGGAGGGAGTGTGAAACAGACGGCTGCAGCAGGGACGCCAAACTTCAGTGTCCTACCTGTATCAAGCTCGGTATTCAAGGCTCGTATTTCTGTTCACAGGTAATGCAGCTTTTTTTTTTTCTTTAACCATTTTTTCCCGGTTAAAACAAAGTGAACAGCAGCCACACCGGGGCCCTCTCTCTGTCACAGGCTGCTAGCTGTCATGCTACAAACGTGATACTAAGGAGCCTGTAAACCGTTTATAACCTCCTTGGGAAAAGTTGATGAATATATTTTAGTTGTTTAATGATATACAGGCTTCCGAAGATAAGAAAAAAACACAAGTGAATTGTGATTGGGACATATCTCTGTAACAGAAATAAGCCAAGGCCGAGAAAAAACGTTTAGCTAGCTTACTAGTCTGAGTAGTTTAAACCTGATCATAATTGAAGTGTTTGTGGTGAAACAGTGTCGGGGTGAATTGTGAATTAAACAAGTTAGTGTGGAAAACGTGTATTGTTATTTAGCAGACTAGATGGTGATGAACTGAGGTGGAAAGTGATCATTTGATGATTCCCACTGGTGTCTTAGTGTTGCAGAGACCTGATTCCTCCCTGAAAGCCACACATTTAAAGTTAGACTGCTTATTAAACAGTTTTAAATGTACTTAAATATTACAATTCCCTTAAAAATCCTGATAATATCTGCAGTTTAGAGTGCAGATCTGAGCCAGTTTTTTATTTCATTATTATTATTATTTTTATCACGTTAGTAGTTTGGATTAAAAGTTTGCCTGTTTTTTTTTTATTGTCAGACACTAAATTGTTCTACAACAAGATTAAAAAAAAAAAAAAAGTCAGAGCTTTAGTAATAGCTGGACTGAGTGTTAACTTTGCTCCGGTGTCTGATTTCAGAAATGAAAACTGCTGTGATTGCAGTTCAGTCAGTGCAAGCTTTGACTCTTAAGTTGGGTGTTTCATTGAGGCACAGATTTCCTGACCATACATCTAACTGTTTCTTATTAAAGCTGCACGCTTTGGAGCGTCATTTAACATGTATTCATAGTGCCAATCATTTCCCTTTGCAGGAATGTTTTAAAGGAAGCTGGGCGTCCCACAAGTTGCTACACAAAAAAGCAAGTAAGTATCACTTAAACACTGTTTTGTCCTTCCACATTAATGTGAACAAGTATCATATGAGAGGTTGAGTGTATATAATGTTGTATTCTTTGTAGAGGAAGACCAGCACCAGAATGAATCTAAGAACTGTGTGGAAAAGGAGGTCAATACAGACCCATGGCCGGGTTATCGCTACACAGGAAAACTACACCCTTACTACCCACTTGTGAGTTTTTTTGTTTTCTTACAGCTACATGTATTTCAGCAAAAGTAATAGCTACCTAAAATCCAGAACTAGGTTAATAATCATCCATTGTAGGGATGCACAATGTTATTGGCATGGTATCAGTATCGGCCAATATCAGCGATAAAGTTAAATATCGGATATCGGCCATTCCATCAAAATAACTCACTGATATAAAAGGCTTTTGTTTTAAGTTAATTCTTAGTGTAAGACACTGTCATGTTTATCTATTAATGCACTACTACTTATGCGCTTTTCACTTGTCGCTTGTGAACAGGTTGAGTTTAGATTTGTGAAAATTTACAGGTTTTCACTGTTCAAGTGTTGTCACTGTGTTCGAGAGAGTAAATGTCATGAATACATTTGACATTAAAACATAATCCAAGTTTAGGTGTTACATAATTTTCAGCCCCATCTGCATTTGGTAGCAGGCCAAATTGACAGACAACATGCAGAATAATGTATTTTAATTCCACAGCAGAGAAAGATGTGTAGTCTCTGAAAATAGGTCTAGGGGGGAAAAATATCTATTAGTATCTCTTATCAGCCAAATAAGTTTTAACATATTGGCATATCGGACATCAGCCAAAAATCCAATATCGTGCATCCCTAATCCAGTGTTTGTTACAGTGGGTTTGTGTGAATGTGCTACAGTAATTGTGTGACTTGTTGCACGGCTGTGATGTAACATGTCTTCTTGACCGCTCGTTTAGACTCCCTTGCGGCCTGTCCCAGGTAACATCCAAAGACCTGACTACGCTGATCATCCTAGAGGTAAAAACAAACACTCTCTTCTCACATAAGTTTTTTTTTTTAGTTTAAAAAGCACAATTATTGTTTTAAACCTATTCCTGCCAAGGAAAAATCGACACTACAATGTATTTTTTCCCAAGTACGTTTAATTAATAACTTGTCTCCCTTTACTAAAACATGCCCAAGAAGGATTTAAAATCCTTTATTGTTTCTATTTTTAAAAGTATTAAAAAGCCTTCAAACTAATACACAAAGTGTATAGATTTTTTTTTTTACCAGTTTCAAAGAAGATGTATGTATTAAGTGGATGAAAATAACCGTTGTAGATCCTTTCTGGGTTCATTTTGGGTTGATTTGGCACATGGTAGTCACAGGACTGATTTGCTTCTTTGCCTGTTCCGTCTATCACTCAGATTGAAGGAATGCCCAAAGAAAGGTCATCAACATTTTGTGGATCTCCATCTCAATTTTCCTCTAATTTGGACCAAAACTATTTTATTTACTGCCTACTAGTTTGTATCGTCATCCATCGGTGGCTCTGCTCAACGTTTTAATGGAAAAAAAGTTCATTTTTGTATTTTCTTTCCCAGGCTTTCAAAGGATTACGTCACTAATTCATAAAACATTTACATTTTTAATTTATTCTGTTTTCTTTATGTACATGGATCAGTGGGTTTTACAGTATGTCAGCCTAAATGCATGATCAAAATAAAACGGGTTAAATTATGCCTTTCCCCTTTGATTATTTAAGTAGGGCTGGGCGATGTATCGAATATACTCGATGTATCGAATATACTCGATGCACCGAATATACTCGATGTACCGTATATACTCGATGTACCAAATATACTCGATGTACCGAATATACTCGATGTACCGAATATACTCGATGTACCGAATATACTCGATGTACCGAATATACTCGATGTACCGAATATACTCGATGTACCGAATATACTCGATGTATCGAATATACTCGATGTATCGCTAGTTTTTCAATTTATGATGGTTAAAATGGCTCTATCGCAACACTCGAGTATTATTAGACTTAAATCCTTGTAGTTCTTTTTCCAACTTCACGCGCCCCCCCCCCTCCCTCACTGAATACTAACGCAGCCCCTCACGTGCTGCTTCACACACGCTTACTAACATGAAAGCGGCACAGCTGCAGATTATTATTATTTAACATATGTAAATAAATGTCTTAAAAAACAAACTTTTTAATATATGTAAATATTTTTTAGGTATTTATTTAGTACAGTTACAGCTGTTTGTTAATAAATGTGCCTGTGTAACATTTGTGACAAAGCTTTGACTCAGAAATATTTTTTATTACTTTATGGAAATAAAAAATATCGATGCATATCGTATATTGCAATTTATCTTTAAAATATCTAGATTAATTTTGGTGCGTATCGCTCAGCCTTAATATTAAGCTTTATTGTCATCGTGGGATCTCTGCTGGAAACGCCTTGTTTTGTCCTTCGTCCATCTTCATAATTTTAAAATAATATTTAAAACAAAACTAATTCTAGTCAGTAGCTAATTTCAGGCAAAGATCACAGGAACTGGTGCAGCAATGCCCTGAATAAAGAAGACAATGGGGTTTTAATCATTTAGGCATGTAAATGCTTATAGGCAATGTTAAAAAGCCCGTTTATTTAAAAATATATTTTACTATACACACAACTACAATACTCTTTTTGGTTATTTTAACACAGTTTTTAAAGCTCATATTTGAAACTTGAACCCATTTGCCTTGTTACATCTCTCTGCCCACCTTTGGTGATGAATACATAACGGGGAACAAAAATCTTGCTGACAGGTCAGCTTCCACAGCCGTCCTGTCCTATCGAAGCGATTTTAGCTTTATGCTGTTGGGAGGAGGGGGGGGGGGGTGTAGTCCTTCAGCGTGCAGCCATAGCAACCTCTGCATCCTTGTCATTTGACTGCATAGATCCATACTCGGGTAGTCATGGTTACAGACTCCTTTCATTCTCCTGTGATTCCAGCTCAGGGAGTGAAGCTCAGTTGTTGCAGATTAATGTTTCCCAACACTGCCCTGCTGAGATTAAATAAGATCTGCAGCAGCTCTAACCCAAACGAAAAGTCTCGTAAGGCTAATTTAAAGATGGGCTTTCTGATTTGTGTATCGTTCCTTTTCTGAGCACAAAGTGTAAGTTCAGTTGATTGTTGTGCTCATTTTGTGGCTCTCCGGGTCTAAATGGACGGCTTTATTCAACTTGTACACAAGTCTGTCTTGGGTTTGTGTTGCTAAGCAACTGTCCATGTCCAACCAGCTATCATCTTGCTGGATGATGGAGTTAATAAATTATAAACGAGTGAATTAATGACGACACCAGCTTGAATCAATGTTTTAGGCATTAACTTATCAGTCAAGGACCAATCTTTCATTCACAGTGAAGGCTCAGTATCTTTTCTCTGTTTGCTCTGAGCTTCTCTTGTTCTCCGTAGAACAGTAACGTTCCTGCGCTGTTCTACTGACTCGGCTGCGTGAGTGTCATTAAAGCCGTCCTCTGCTCAGGTGCTGAAGCTGTAGTGTAGTCTCCACACGAGCAGCTAGTTATTCATAGCACCACAACACCGCAAGGCTGCTTTTATGCTTCTTATGTTTAGAATTCAAGTCACTGTCAAAACAGAAGAGGTGTACGCCGTGTGAGCACTTTGTTAGGAGCAACTGTGTCAGAGGGTGCAGTTTCATGAGCTCTACTTTATTATTTTTTCAGATTTAGTTGAAAAAGGAGATAAATCTCCCGCTTGAAATTACAGAGTTTGTAATGGATGGTTTAAAAAAACAAAACAAAACTTAAACATGCACTCTCTTAACAAATGATGATTGGCTGAGCTCATTTTCAGTTTTTAAGTATTTTGGCTTTGCTGCATGGAGGTGTCATCCAGGGTGTGACATATGGAATAAACTGTTAGATCAATATTAAAACTGAAACTAGAAATGAGGTGTTTTATGGAGAAAAAAATATGACAAATTAAGAAGGAAAAGTCACAAACTAAAGATCTTTTTTCTGGTTTTGTTTGCAGGAGAAAAAGTAAATTGTAATAAACCAAAAACAAACTTGGCACTCTAGGACGGGGGTTCCCAACCCTGGTCCTTGAGGAACACCTTCCTTGTCTCGCTGCTCTGACACACCTGGTTTTAATTAATTGGTGATTAACAGGCTTCTGCAGAACATGAGGAAGATATTAAATCACTGAATCAGGTGTGGTGGAGCAGGGAAACAAGTAAAACATGCAGGATGGTGTTCCTCAAGGATCAGGGTTGGGAACCACTGCTCTGGGATAAGTGAAAATGTAAATTAGCCATTTTGATTTTAGTGCAAAAGTGCAGAGTCACTTGTGAACCATTTTAGGAGGTTTTCATTGAAAAAAGAACCTGAAAATTAGGGGTTTAATGGGACACATATTTGTTCCGAACTGGGTCCAGTGCACAAAATCAAATAAGCACTTTGATCACAGGATAACACTAGACATGCATTCAAAACAAAAAGCATTTGCTAACTGCTACAGCAGAAAAGCAGTAGAGGAGTAAGCAATCTAAAGCAGGGGTTGTCCAAACCTGGTCCTGGAGGGCCACCATGTTGCACGTTTTACTTGTTTCCATGCTCCAGCACACCTGGATCAATGGTTAAATTCCCTCTTCATGTTCTGCAGAAGCATCCTAATTACCCAGTAATTCAAATCAGGTGTGCTGGAGCAGAGAAACATCTAAAACATGCAGGATGGTCTCTCCCCCCCCCCCCCCCCCCCCCCCCCCCCAAGGACCAGGATTGGACACCCCTGGAAAGCATCAAGAGGTGGATGTATGGAGAGCCAAAAGGGTCATAATTCACACTTAAAATGCGCCCCGGTGTCTAATGAACACGGTTAAATACATCTGCAGATGTTTAATAAGCACCAACTGTGTATGACCAGCACATTAGAGACTGAGAGGCTCAGAGTGATTACGATTTCATCTGGTTTGTATTTTCACACTGGGAGATGTTTTGTTCAGTAATGCCTTTTTGTTTTGCATCAAGTTTAGGTCAAATTAAGTGAAACCTCCTTTTTACACCATTCTCTTGAATAAACTCAATGTCTTTCAGGATTTGGAGTTTATATATTTTGACATGTGGTCTGTAGAACAATGTTTACAGTATGAATATTTTTAACTAATAGATGCCAAATCTCACTTTTCTATAAATAAACTACCGTAATTTCCGGACTATAAGCCACTACTTTTTTTTCCCACATGCTTTGATCACAGCACCTTATACAACACTGCAGCTAATTTATGATTTTTTTGTTTTGTTTACCTCCTGTGCATTGCATAGGAGGAAGAAGCTTAGTCCTGGTAGGCTATTGCTTTATTTTTTTATTTTTATTTTTTAACAAGCCATGTTACAGGCACTGTCCAGGCAAAAAAAATACTATACATATTTTTGTATTTTACCAGTACATATTTACTTTAATGTTTAAAAAATTTTTCTGTCTAAATATCTCATGTTACAAGGTGGACACCTGCGGCTTGTATACAAGTGCAGCCTATTTATTATTATTATTATTATTATTATTATTATTATTTTAAGTGGGTGTGGCTTATATTCAGGCGCGCTCAATAGTCTGGAAATTACTGTACCTTAAAAACACGTACCAAATAAGAGTGGTTTGTTTTGTCTCTGCTCTAAAAAGGAGTTATTGTCTGTTTAAAAATAATTAACAGATCATTATTTAATTTTCTTGTACCAAACCCATACCGAACTGTGACCCCTTAAACAAAAGGTACGCACCACCTGATTTATTTATTGTTGATTTATACGTACCGTGACACCCCTATCTTCAACATCAAACATCTTTCACCCTCTCTGATGTTTCAAGAAACACGTTTGTGTCTAAAAATAAAGAGAACATGTTTAAAGTTTTATTACGGTGAGGTCGCACCAAAGTTAAACCAATCCATGGCTTTTTAGGAGTAGATTTGGCTTTTGCTGTAGAGATTATTAATCTCCCCACCCCCACACCAAAGTGTCTGTTTTTTCTTTGCCCTTAAACTTGTGAATAAATTGTGTACTGTCTGACCTGTTGAAGCTTCCAGGAGGTAAACACCATAGAAGGTAAAACCCTGCTGGACAATAGAAACACGATTCACACTTATCTGTTTGTATTCATTAAAACTGTACCAACTAGAGCCTAGCTGCAGAAGTAGTGAGAATAATAATAATGTTTGGTACTTGTTGAGTCGCACATGATTTATCCAGCCATCATTTGTGATGGAAAACACAATCAGTGTGACAAATTTAAATCCAGCTGTGTGGCAGTGCGCTTGGAAATAGACTGGCAGCAGCTGCTTTTTTCAAGGTCTTAGCTGAAAGAGCTCATCAGCGTCGCCTCGTATTGACGTGTGATTGATGCCAGTCGTCTGCCCTGGTTTCCTGCCCACAGGGATGTCTGAGTCCGAGCAGTTCTTGAAGGGAACGTCGCAGATCAAAATCCTGTCTCCTGAGGACATCGAAGGGATGAGGGTGGTGTGCAAGGTGAAATAAAATGGACTCGCTCTGACTCCGTCGTGCGACTCTTTTGTAGCAGTTTGTTGTTGACGCACGTTTGTTTGCAGCTGGCGCGAGAAGTCCTGGACATCGCAGCCTTGATGGTGAAACCGGGGGTCACGACAGAAGAGATCGACCACGCTGTGCATCTGGTATTCATGCACACACTTAAACATTTTATGCAAGCACGATTTGCATTTATTTCCTGAACGTTGTGGAGATGAAGGCAAAACCTTTGAGACATGACTGTGAAAGTGACCATTCTAGAGGGTCAATATCAAAAACTGAATCAGACCTCCAAGATACGATATAGAAAGATAAAAAACATTTGACAGAATCGTGTGCCGTACATATCATGTTAAAATATGAGGGTCAGTCCATCTGTGCGTTGAACATGATAACTTGGAAAAATAAGCGAGGTGCCGACTTTAATTTTGGTGTGTGGCAACATCGACTTATTGGGCGGTGTGATGTGTACGGCGGAAAATACGGTAATCAATGGTGGCAAAGGCCACCACTGGTCACCCTCTGGCTCCTCCATTGCACCTGGTGATGGTTCAAATTGTTCCTCCAACAAAGCAGACGTCTCTTCTTCTACATAGTGTAATTTCTTTCCACTTGAATATCTTTCACCAAAAACATTAAGGTTTACTTGCATTCCCTGTTCAATTCCAGTCCAGAAGAAAAACATTTGTCTTGAAAATTACAAACATGGACTATTGAAATCAGGGGGACATCAGTGTACCGTTTGTTTAATTTAGCAAATGAAGTCGAAAAGTCAAAAGAAAAATTTGAACTAAAACATTCTAATAAATAGGACTTTGGAAAATCTCTACAACTTACAAAAGGCATGTTTGAATTGTTATGGTTTCCAGATGTTAATTATGTGTCCTGTATTTTACATTCATAATCTGAGGTGTTTAATGGATTGTAGTTTAATAAGGTGCAGTCCCATCAGGAGACTTACATTTATTGCAGCTTCTGTCAGCATCAGCTGTTTGGTCGTTGTTACATGTAGGCCTATTAGCTGGTTAAAATAAGATGGCTCCCATGGGAGCAGTAGCTGTTAGTATCAACATGTTCAGTCTCAGAGCAGCTACTGTAAAGGTTAATGCTCATTTCTGTCAACAGTTTAATATCTGTGGAAAGCAGACTATAAATCATGTAAGTTCTAGGTGCTTTTATATAAACAGATCTCTCAAGCATTACTTTAACTTGAGCTACGTTTTTTTATAATCTTGACTTTAATACAGACGATCAGTCACATCTGGCTGCAGGGTGCTCGGACAGATGTTAAATCAGAGCCCTCAGTGTTTGTGTCCATCAGGCAGGACAGAAGGATGTGACATCTTTATTATAACCATCTTATTCTTTCTGTTCAGGCCTGCATAGCAAGAAATTGCTACCCCTCTCCTCTTAACTACTACAACTTTCCCAAATCCTGCTGCACGTCTGTCAATGAAGTCATCTGCCATGGCATCCCAGACAGGAGACCGCTGCAGGAGGACGATATCCTCAACGGTGTGCTCACTGCAACAAACACCTACTTTACACACATTTAATTTTGATCCCTTTTTTTAATAAAAGCCCAGTTTTTAAACAGCTTAAGTTCCCAAATAATAAAATGTTTTAATTGGAGTGGGAGTAAACAATTTGTGTCTCATGATGAATGATGCAGCAGCATCCTGAGTCGGTGTCAGCAGGAGTTTGGCCAATTTTAGCCTCTTTATGAACGCTTCTGCTCAGGCGACGTCTTCCGTCCGCCGCTCCCCTCAGAGCGTCTGATGGAGCACTTTTCAGCAGCTCATCTCTCGCTGCGTGCTCTGACAAGACAAATGGTTCCATTAAAATTTTCCAGTGGGGCTCTGCCACTCAAATTTGCCCTTCTCTTTATTTATCTTTAAGTGGTGAAAGTCCCAGTTTGCATTTTTGTTTTCTAATGGTTGTCCTGCCACCAGCTGTTGTTGAACTGAAGAAAGTTTTGCTCCACAAGTTTGTCCTTTTTGTGTTTTTGTTTTCATCTAACTCTGAGTTTGACATATTCATCTTCCCTTGTTTACGCAGTGGACATCACTGTCTACCACAACGGTTTCCATGGTGACCTCAACGAAACCTTCTTTGTCGGAGAGGTGGACGAAGGAGCAAAGAAGCTGGTTCAGACTACGTATGAATGCCTTATGCAAGCCATCGACTCTGGTGGGCACATTTTCTTTGATTTGTTTCCTTTCTGATTGTAAATATGTTTTTTGTTTTTTTTTCTCTGCAATTATCAGTGTCACCAAAAAACTGAAACATGACATAAGATTTGTTGCTCATGCTGTTTCCCAACAGATGCAACCTTCTCACATGTTTGGAGCATTTCTTGATAAAATAACAAATGACCAAATGACTTCGTTTATGTAACATGTATACTTTTATTTTACATTTAATTATTATTATTATTATTATTATTATTATTATTATTATTATTATTATTA